TTAGAAAGGTTGAGGACCACTGACTCAGAAAGACCATGTTGACTTCTCAGCCCCATGCACAAACTTCTACATGGGAACAACTTTTTTTTTTTCAAGACAGAGTTAATCTGTGTAGCCTTGACTATCCTGGAACTCACTTTGTAGACCAGGCTGGCCTCAAACTCACAGAGATCTACCTGCCTCTACCTCCCAAGTGCTGGAACAAACTTCTATACAGAGACAAGTTTTGAATGAATGACTTTAATGACCCAACTTGTATCTCATAACGTGTTCATCTAACAGGACAGCAGCCACGATGAATGGTAAACTGTCTCACGTTGGTCTCATTTAACATGCCATCTTGTTGTTTTTAGAGTTAATAGTCTTTTATTTTAGGAATAAGAAAAATTAATCTAAGAAAGGCAATATACAGTATGTATCTATAAAAAAATGTCCACTTTAAATGTTCAGAAGTTCTCTAATTGGATTTTGGCCTAGTGGAAGAAATTTGAGAAAAACTGTTAAAAAAATTTTTTTTTGAAAAATAAAGGAAAAAAGAGAAAATAAATATCACACAGCTCTTATTGTGGAACTTAACCACTTATTTTCTTAAACTGTATCTTTACAGAACAATAAAATATGAAACTTTATTTCTAAAAATTAGACAATTTTAAAAGAAAATTTCTATTTTGATAAGTAAAGAGAGAAAAGTAAGATTGACCATTTTTCTAAGTTACCTGCCTTTTTTTCCCTCCCTTTGCATGTAATAGAAATATCTAAAGTAGTGATTGGTGATTGTGCAAGGGAATTACTGAATTCTATCTCATTAGAAAATCATACAAAAAAAAAAAAAAGAAAATCATACAAAGCACCAAATGATTTTAAAGTCAAGAATCTAATACTACAGAATATCTGATGTAGGAATGTGTAATTAACAATAAGACCCATTATAAGAATAAAATCAGAATATTCTAGAAACCAAAGCATAGCTTGCTTTGCTCTGGGCAACCTGACAGTGCTTCATAAAACATCTATGTACACATTCCTGTTTTATCCTACGTTACCAACTTATCTCACGTAAAAACATTCCCAATTCTTGCCACTTGGTTGGGACTGAGATTTGGCCATTGGAGATGGAGTCTTCATTTCATGCTTATGTCCCTGGCTCTGATATTCTACTTTTATTCACCCAGATCCTTGAAAGTGTGGAATAGTTCACCTGCCTAGACAGACTACTTTCATACGATCTGAGATGTCACTCGCATTCAGTAGGAGGGAAACCCTGCCCCTGCATCTTACCTCTTTAACATCTCTTTTTGTTGTTCTTTAACCCCCTACTCAAGGGAACTGTTTACAACTCTCATGCTCTTAATGATAAAATATTCAGACATGCTGATGTCACTTCTGAGGCAGGTATCTCTGCTCACTGCTGTGACTGGCCTCTCCTGACAGCTTAGAAAAGAGCTGGTTGATTCATCCTCTGCATCATCCCTTGGCCAGACTCATCACAGACACGGTGATGAGGTGAAGTCACTTGCCCTCTTACTTTGTGCAACATAGGACGACACACATCTGCCATATTCATGCCCCGATTTCATATACCTGATGCTGTTATAAAAACAGGAACGCTAACAGAATATCTGTATGTATGACAGCTTCTCCAGATGAGACAAGTGGTGGCGGGCGTCTATGAACTTGATCGCTTTGTGTGTGTGTGTGCAAGCCAGAGGTCAACCTTACATGTTGTGCCTCAGATGCCATTCACCTTATGTGTGTGTCAGAACCAAGGAGAGGGTTTCTCACTAACCCGGGGCTAAAGCAGACCACGCTAACTCCAGGGATCCAATTGTATCCACCTTCCCAGCACTGGCTGATAAGTACTGGCCACCATGGTATCCTTTGTAAATGAGGATTGTGGGGTCTAACTCAGCCCTGTGTGCTTGCAAGGCATCTTCCTGACTGGGCCAATCTCCCTAGCCTATTGTAGTTAAGTCAGATTCTCTTCATTCAGACTCTAATCATTTGCTGAACTCCTATTGTGACAGTACAAGGTAGCTTTTCTGAGCCCTGAAAGAAAGCAAAAGGACTTACATAATGGACAGCAGCAGGACATGTCAATATATACGTGAATTCTCTAGTTGGTTTTAAGGTAATCTCTTCCACATGAGAGGAAATGAAGAAAATAACTGAACTTCAGGAAGAGGGTTGGATGAGAGACAGTCAGTGCCTGCTAATGCCACGCCTGAGCAAGACTGAGAATATAAGCTGCAGAAGGCGTAAGCCTCTTAAGGAGTAGAGGAATACTTATTTTTGCCATTTTATGGACAAGAGAAAAGAAGCTTTAAGTTTCAGAATTATTTGCAATGATTCCTCAAGCTCATGCACCAAGCAGCATCACCACAGGAAAGACTCCTGGAATAATTCTAGATCTTGAACTACAATTTGCATAATTTCAAAGGAAAAACTCAATGCTCACTGCTATTCTGTAGTTCAAATTAGCAACCGTGTTGCAAACTTCTCTCATCTAAGAAACTACTTGATCCTCTGGACTGAGAAACTACAGGAGAGCCAACACTTGAGCGGGTTTTTTTTCCCCCTGAGATTTTATTCTTCCCTTAAATTGTTATTTTTCCTTAAGTCCAGAAATAAATATCTGTCTGTCTCTCTCTCATTGTGTGAGTGTGTGTGTGTGTGTGTGTGTGTGTGTGTGTGTGTGTGTGTGTGTG